TTTTGGTCTTTTTGAGACAGGGTCTCCCTGTAGCCCCAGATGTCCTGGAACTCACTATGTAGACCAGGCTGGCCTTGAACTCACAGAGATCCACCTGCCTCTGCCTCCCAAGTGCTGGGATTAAAGGTGTATACCACCAAGCCCAGCCAACATTAATCATTTTTTAGACTAGAAAAAAATAAAAAATAAAGGCACTTAATTCCATTGAAAAGTAATTTTGATTAACACTAAATCTTCAACTGGTTACTAAAGCTCAACTCAAAGGTTCAGTTCTAACCAAGGGTCCCCTCCTGGCTGAAAATCCCCACAAGAAGAGCAGGGACCAGGTTTGGTAAGAAAATGCTCAGAGACCACCTGAGATCCTGCTCCAAGGCATATATACAACCTAACAGAATTACTGTGATGGCTTTGTTCATTGTAACTAATATGAAAAGCTACATGAGGAAAAATAACTCAGAAAAAAAAATCTAAATTAAAAACCTGAGCATTGTCAGTGGAAATCAATTTTGAGAGTTTGGATGAGTCTATCGGAATAGTCTGAGCACAAGTGTGTGGGTGTTAGGTTCTGACGGGTTATCAAAAAGTAGGTGGGTAAGCAGCCTAGATATCACCAATAGTCCCAACATAAACAGGCTACTCTTGAATGAGAACAGCTTCTCCTGTCCACACACAGCTCTTAGAAAGAGCTAGGAAGTACTGAACAGGTTACATCTCAAGTAGTGGGCTACAGCCTCTAACAAGGCCCTGGGAAAGGCACCAGCTTCTATCTAAACACATTCCCTGTCTGCTACCAGGCAGCATAGATTGCTGTGACCCTAGTGTTATTATAACAGCTATGATGGTAACATTTTCTTTCTTTCTTTTTTTTTTTTTTTTGTCTTTTTGAGACAGGGTCTCCCTGTACCCCAGCTGTCCTGGAACTCACTATGTAGACCAGGCTGGCCTTGAACTCACAGAGATCTGCCTGCCTCTGCCTCCCAAGTGTTGGGATTAAAGGCGTGTGCCACAACACCTGGTGGAAACATTTTCTTTTTGGCAAAGGTGGAAAGGGGGTCAGATAAGGTTAGGCGGTGAAAATGTTTGGATGATGACTTTGGGAGTTGAAGCTTTATACTTAATGGAAATTGGGGTTACTCTGGTTTCTCACTGAGTGATGGCCTATACTGCAAAAATACTTTACCCATTTGTTGTCTAAGGTCTTAAGACACAAAGTCTGACACAAGTTAAATCCTGGATAATGGGCAAAAAGCTACAGCTTTCCAACTGCTTACTTTTTTTAAAAGTACTTCTGACCAGACAAAATTAAAGAATTTATGTCTCTAATCTTTTTCTTTCCTTAAATTTTTTAAGGAAATAAAATGAATTATATTAGTCAAGAATTACTATTCCTTTTTTTTTTTTTTTACATTTATTTATTTGAGAGGGGCAGTGATGTGCCATAGTGCTCATATAGCAGAGAACAATTTGTAGGTCAGTTATCTACTTCTACTATGTAGGGTCCTGGGACTCAAACTCAGGCCATTAGGCTTGGCAGCAAGTGCTTTTACCTGCTGAGCCATCTTGCTGGCCCAACAAATACTATTCTGATATTCACTTTAAGACATATGCTTCAAATAGGAACTGTATTATCAATTTTTAAAAACCTCTGCACAACCAAAATGCAAAGTATGCTATATTTTTTATATATCTGGCCATGTATTAGTCTATTCTTATGGAAGCTGTTCAGCATTTATTTTTTTAAATGAATTGTATTTACAATGTAGAACAAATTTATAAAATTGGTATGCAAAGTTCATTGTAAAAGGATAATACTATTTCTTTAGAAACAAGCTGCCTCTGTTTACGTTTCCTTATTGTTGATAATAAATTGAAGACATATACTATTTTAAAATAATGCTTCTTAAATAGTAATAGTAAAATATACAAGAAGTTCCTGAGCATAAGAAAAATATCCTGAAAATATGTGACCATTTGAAATATAAAATAGCAAGTGTAAGAATAGAACGATTGTAAAACTACAGCTTGAAGGCTATAAATAGTACAAAACAGCTCGCCTTTTCCTGGTACATAATATACATGAGTGCAAACAAAAATGTCTTAAATTTAATGGCTACAAATCTCAAAGATTTGCAGAGGTGCGCAAAACATGAAACTTCTTGAGTGTCATTCGAACTGAACCCAGTTCTCGGTTGATCATTTCCAAACGATCTTCCAAGGCTTCCTAGGTTTAAAAAAAAAGGGGAAAGTCATGAGAATTCCACACCAAGTCCACTGGGTCTCTAGTTATCTGCCACAAATTGACCTTTTCTTTTAAGCAAAATAGCAAATATAAATTTTAAAAATACAGATTTTGCTTCTACATAAATCATTTATATTATCTCTCAACCAGAATCAGCTTCTCAGCCCTTCCTGTTGCACTTTGAATATTCTCAACATGTTTGGAATTCTAGACAGCAACACAACTGACTGGAGAGGATGGCTCTTTGATGACCTGGGAGCAGCACAGGAGAAGCCCAGAAGGTGCACTACATATCTCACCAGATGCGGACACACTGGACCAGGCTGTACCACTCATACATACATCAAGTAACTTTCTCTGACAAGAATTTCTAACTTAAAAACATAAGAGGAGCCAGGCATGGTGGCACATGCCTTTAATCCCACCACTCAGAAGCAGGCAGATCTCTGTGAGTTCAAGGCCAGCCTGGTCTACATAGTGAGTTTCAGTCCAGCTGGGGCTACAGGGAGACCCTGTCTCAAAAGGACCGGGAAAAAAAAAAAAAAAAAAAAAGAGGAGACTCAAAAAAAAAAAAAAGATTTCACAATTACAAAGAATAACTCTAGTTAATGATACCTAGAATATAAATTTATCATTTTAGATCATTGATTCCGTATTGATTTGAATGGTATCCTGAAATAAAATCTGAAATTTTTATATTCAATAATTTTAACTACAAAAGAAAAAGATTAGCTGGGCGTGGTGGCACACGCCTTTAATCCCAGCACTTGGGAGGCAGAGGCAGGTGGATCTCTGTGAGTTCAAGGCCAGTCTGGTCTACATAGTGAGTTCCAGGACAGCTGGGGCTACAGGGAGACCCTGCTTCAAAAATACAAAAAAAAAAAAAAGAAAAGAAAAGAAAAAGAAACACTGATTTTTCCTGTTTCTTCTGCATGTATGCACATACTTTTTAGAAAGAAAAAACCAGAATCAAACATTTCAAGTATTTTCCATTTGAACTTTCTTGGCATGCTATGAAGTATCTTTCTATAACACCCTCTTAAATTAATGTATAATATGCCTTCACAAGTAGCACAGTGAATCAGGAGTCTTTTAGTAGAAATTTAGGTTGCTTCTAATTTTGAACACTATAACTAAGACTGCAATACATTTCTTAAACATATCTCTGCAGTATCTATAAATATTGACTTAGGAATCATTGGTAGACATGGAAAAAATGTGCTTGGGTTTAAAGAGAGGCAAAATTTTGTATTCTAGAAAGCCTGATAATTTCTCCTTCCATTTGCACTGTCTGGGAATAAGTTTGTCTACATTCTAAGAATTGTCTTTAAAAACAAACTGGGGGGCTGGAGAGATGGCTCAGCAGTTAACAGTACTGTTTGTTCTTGCAGAGGACCCAGGTTGGATTCCTAGCACCCACATGGTGGCTAACAACCATCTGTAACTCCAGTTCCAGGGGATCCAACGCCCTCTTCTGACCTCTGTGGGCACTGCACAACACAGGTACACTTTACATACATGTAGGCAATACACTCATATACATAAAATAAAAATAATATTTTTTTAAAAAAGCAAAAAACAAACTGTGAAGTGCTCAGTGGAAGAGCACTTCCCTAGCATGTGTGAGGCCCTAGGTTCAATTCCTAGTACTACTGAAAACAAACAAAAAACCAAACTGATAACTTGACATTGTGGTACACATTATTAGCAGGTTGTTTCATTTTTCTTTCTTTTTATTGAAATAAGTAACCCAAGTTGGCCCTGAACTTGATATGTGGCTGAGGATGACCTTGAACTTCAGTTCTTCTTGCCTCTGTCTCCCAAGGATTAAAGGCATGTGCTACCGCACCCAGTTCCTCTTAATTTGTGTGTGTGTGTGTGTGTGTGTGTGTGTGTGTGTGTGTTTAGTACTGGGGACTGAACCCAGAGCCTTGCAAGACGCTAGGCAAAATGTTCTACCACTGAGCCACACCTCAGGTCCTTTATCAGTTTTATGTAGTATTGGGGACTGAACCCAGGGCTTTCAGCAATGTAAGGCAAGCACTCTATAGACTTAGCCTGTTTTATTTTTTGAGATACAGTCTTGCTACTATGTAGCCCAGGCTGGCCTCCAACTTGGGATTCTATTACCTCAGCCTCCCAAGTGTAGAGATTACAGATTACAGGTGGTTCTCTACAGGTCACCACCTCCAGCATCAATGTGTACCACTCTTTTCCAAAAAATTTATAGGTGCCGGGTGTGGTGGCGCACACCTTTAATCCCAGCACTTGGGAGACAGAGGCAGACAGATCTCTGTTAAGTTCAAGGCCAGCCTGGTCTACATAGTGAGTTCCAGGACAGCTCAGACTATAGGGAGACCCTGTCTCAAAAAGACCCCCCAAAAAAATTTATAATTTATTGATTTATGTATATGAGTGTTTTTGCCTGTATGTATTTAAGTACACCTTAAATGTGAGTGAAATGCCTGCAGAGGTCAGAAGAAGGTGTTGGGATTCCCTGGAACTGGACTTACTGATAGTTGTTAGCTGCCATGTGGGTGCTGGGAACCAAACCTGGGTCCTCTGCAAAGAGCAGCCAGTGTGCTTAACCTCTGACCCATCTCTCCAACCCCAGTGTATATCATTCTTATTCAAAAATTAGGATGAACATTCTTATTTATTCACTGGTGCTGGAGATGAAACCCATGGCCTCATGCATGCTAGATAGATTAAGAGCTCTACTACTGTGCTATGCCCCCCAGGTTGAAGATGAACATTTTCAACTTTTGATACAGTTTTACTTTTTCAGCTACAAATCACAAGAGCATCCTCAGTCCCTTTTTTACTGGCATTTATTTTCTTAGTGGATTGACTGACATATACAAACTAACTAATGCTCTTTAAAAAGTCTTAAGAGCCAGAAAATAATGTTCATTACATTAAAATATATTAAATATTTCATATTGATTTAAAATCAGAGTATAATCAAATTTTCTTTCTGGTTTTCTAATAAAGTATTTTAAGAGTTTCATGTGTTGAGTCTTATAAATTATTCAATAAAGGACTAGAGAGATGGCTCAGCAGTTAAGAGCACTGACTGCTCTTGCAGAGACCTGGGTTTCATTCCCAGCACCCACGTGGCAGCTACGATCCATACTTAACTCCAGTTCCAGGGGAATCTGAAGCCCTCTTCTGACCTCTGAGGCATTGTACAACACAGGTGCACTCACATTCATGCAGGCAATACATTCATACACATAAAATAAAAAATAATAAAATAAATTATTCAATAAAAAAATTCAGAAGAAGGGCTGGTGAGGTGGCTCAGTGTGTAAAAGCACTTACCACACAAGCCTGATGGACCTGAGTTTGACCCCTGAGACCCATGTAATGGTAGGAGAAAACTTATCCACAAAGTTGTCCTCTGATCTCCACATGTGTGCAATTACATGTATATGCCCACTCACATCGTGTGCGCGCACACACACACACACACACAATAACAACAAATAAAACTTTAAATTAAAAAATTAAATTTCATGGAGCTGGAGAGATGGCTCAGCGGTTAAAAGCACTGACTGCTCTTGCGGAGGACCCAGGTTCAATTCCCAGCACCCATATGGTGGCTACGAACCATCCTTAACTCCAGTTCCAGGGGAATCCAAAGCCCTCTTCTGACCTCTGCGGCATTGCATGACATGGGTGCACTCACATACATGCAGGCAATACACTCACACACATAAAATAAAAAATAAAAAATTAAATTAAATTTCAGAACAGGACTGGGGTGTAGCTTGCTGGTAGAGTTCTTGCCCAGAACAAGTGAGGCACTCAACAGTCCCTAGCACCACAAGAAAACAAAATCACAGGGCTGGATGCTCTTGTGATTTGTAGCTGACTGCTCTTGCAGAGGACCAGGACTCGATTCCTAGCATCTACATGGTGGCTAAGAACCACCCATAACTCCAGGTCTGGGGGAATCTGACACCTTCTTCTGACCTCCGCAGGCATTGCACGACATGGGTGCACTTACACACATGCAGGCAATACATTCATACACATAAAATAAAAAAAATATTTAAAAAAAGAAAACAAAATCACAACAAAAATAATAAAAAGACTTAATGTGAGAGAAAAAGGAAGGTAGGGGACAGTCATGGAAAAGCCCTCTACTATGTTCTTTGGATCTATGTACAGATTAGTCTGAAAATGCATTTTGGTGTTAAAATACTAAAAAAGTATAAAAACAATATACTTGTTATTGTTTAAAACATTACTAAAAGAGAAGATTGAAAATGTCTCCTGACCATGCATTTTAATTCTCTGTGAAAAGCAACTGAAGGAAATGCAGGGCAGGCAAAGGTGCTTGACACTAAGTCTGATGACCTGAATTCAGTCCCCAGGATCCACATGGTAGAAGGAGAGAATCCATTTCTTCAGGCTGTCCTCTGACCTCTACATGTGTATTGTGGCATGTGTACCCACCCACCAAGAGGCAAAAGTAATTTTAATAAAAAAAAAAGAAAGAAATGCACATATTCCATATCACCTGACCACATACGGCTGGATTATCAAACGACATCTCTCACTAGCTGCTTTTTCAACTTCTATATTGCTTCCAGTTGCAAAGTTCAACTATTTTCAAGTCTTTACTAGATAAAAAGGGGTTCAGAAGTCAATTAGATGATAGTGGAGGAGATCAAACAAAATCAGACAAGGTAGCAGCATTTACTTAATACTGCAAAAATCTATCTGAAGGTATGTATGGTGCTAGACTGAAGGATGCAGCTCAGTGGTAGAGCATTTCCTGGCATGTCTAAGGCCCTGAGTTTCATCACCAGCACCTGACATAAACAAACAAACAAACAAACAAAAGGTATGGTATTTGCTCTTATGAATGCCATTTTCTTAAGTCTAAGGCATCAAAGATAGTTTTATTCTTGAAAGTAAGCTAAGCCATTTCACCTGGTTTAATCTCGTCTGTAAAGTGATTCTTCCTCCAGGAGAAGGCATTCGGCTTAGGGCTGCTTCAATCTGTTAACATGAGAAAATCGTCAAATAAAAGAATTCTTATTACTGGCTGCAAGGTTTATGACACAGAAAGGAAAGAAAAGATTTCAGCTTAGTATTTATTTGCCCATTCTGGCTTAACAGAAGCTCCCTCTGTCCTCAGTTAATAGCAGTAGCAAAGCTCAAGGTCATTTCTAGTATAGCTCTGGCACCCCATGGCTCAGTACCCAAGGCTACCCTATGGCAGATTTGACACAATGATTTCCTTCTTTATTTTTACTTTTTTAAAAAAAGATATTTTTATTTGTACAAGTGTTTTGATTGCCAATATGTTTACTGTGTATGTAGTGCCCTTGAAGGCTGGAAGAGGGTAACAGAGCCTGAGCCGCCATGTGAATGCTGGAAGTTGAACCCAGGTCGCCTGGAAGAACAGCAAGTGCTCCTATCCCCTGAGCCAGCTCTCCAGCCCCTTATTTTTTTAAAAAAAATATTTATTCTGCTGGGCGTGGTGGTGCACGCCTATAGTCCCAGCACTTGGGAGGCAGAGGCAGGTGGATCTCTGTAAGTTCAAGGCCAGCCTGGTCTACATAGTGAGTTCCAGGACAGCTGGGGCTTACAGGGAGATCCTGCTTCAAAAAGACCAAAAAAAAATGTTTATTTTTATTTTATGAGTATGAGTGTATTGCCTGCATTTATGTAAGTGTACCTGTGTCATGCAATGCCCACAGAGGTCAGAAGAGGGTATCGGATTCCCCCGGAACTGGAGTTACAGGCAGTTGTTAGCTGTGATGTGGGTACTAGGAATTGAACCCGGGTCCTTTACAAGAACAGCCAGCGCTCTTAACCATTGAGCCATCTCTCCAGCCCCATAGCCCCTTATTTTTCACTTTTTGGTTTTGTTCTTTGATACAGGACCCCCCAAGACTGGCCTGGAACTTGTGATCCTCCTGCTTCAGCCTCCCAAAGGCTGATACAGGCGCATGCCACCATGCCCAGCAGTAATTCCCTTCTGACTATTTTCTAAACACAAGCATTAAATTCAGAAAAAGATTTTTTTTAATATTTTGTTTTACCTGATCCTTTTCTTTTGTAAGTTCATCAAAAAATCGTTCTGTTTCTGCTAGCATCCTAGTTTTTGCTGTATATTCAAAATCATTGCCCTGTGGTGTTACTGAAACAGCCTTACACTGTTCATAGCTAACTGCTCTGTTCTCCCATGCTGGTCTCATGGATACATTCTTCACTCCATTTGGCAAGCGTTCAAGGCAAGCACTATGATCAACAGGGTTGTCAGTGGCTTTTTCTGAATACTTTTTTTCTGTCAGAAAGGAAAGAAATTTCTTATTAATTTTTCTGATAGACTGTATAGGAAAAAGATCTTGTTCAACTTCACTTTCTTAAAGTAACTGCTATATGGTCCAGAAAATTAATGGAAAGAGAATAATCTTTTCTTTTCCCTCCTGGTCTCAGCTGGGCATGGTAGCACACACCTGTAATCCCAGCACTGGGGAGGCAGAGACAGGCAGATCTCTAAATCCAAGCCCAGCCTGGTCTACATAGTAAATTCCAGGCCAGCTAGGGCTACAGGGAGACCCTGTCTCAAAAAGACCAAAAAGAAAAAGGAAAAAAAAAAAAAAAAAAAAAAAAAGACAATAGTCTCACTCTGTAGTCCAGGCTGCCCTGAAACTCACTAAGTAGCCCCACCTGGCCTTGAAGTCGTAGCAATTGCTAAGCTCAGCTTCCTGAGTGCTGAGATTACAGACATGAGTCCCCGTTCCCAGCAGACTATTTACTCCACGCTTTTTTTCTGAGTAATTCTAAAAGTTTGCCCTCAATTTGACAATCTTCAAAACTTCTTTAAACCATTTTTGTGTTGTTGCTGTTTTTTGAGACAGGGCCTTACTGAGTAGCCCTAGCTGGCCTGCAACTTGCTATATAGACCATGCTGGCCTGGAATTCACAGAGATCCCCCTGTCTCTGCCTCCCAAGTGCTGAGATTAAAGGTATGTGCCATCATGCTTACCCACTTAAACAATCTTAAAGCAAACTTTATTATGTACATATAATTAAGTTTAAGAAAACAAAAAGTTTAGAAACTCATATTTAGTGAACATACCCTAAAACAGCTTACATTATGAAGACCTACCCAAGTGATTTCACATACGCTCTCACTTTATACCAGACTTAAAATATAAAAAAAGAAAAAAAATACCCAAAGCCTAAGTTGCTAATAGATTATATAGTAAGAGAGCAGCTATATAGTACAGTCCCAGTAATTATGAATTAGCATTCCCATACCTCAGTTTCCCAACCTTCCCATGATAGTAACACTAGTGTAATGATATAGCATAGTATGAATGCTCAGTTTTAGAGATGGGCTTTAGAACTTTGAAAATGAAGAGCTATAACTAGTTATTTCTTAAGAAAGGTACCTTCTGGGTCATCAAGAGGAAGAAACTGGAGCTGTTTTCTTGGACTAGTTCGTTGTGATGTGGACATAGGAACAGTATCTAAATCATCCAAAAGGATATCAAATCTAGTAAATGAAGAAAGTTTACTGGTGAGAAAAAACATGAAGTCAGTTTCCCTACCTCCACTAGAAAGATAAACTGCCATTCAGTGAATTCACTTATAGATTTTCTTAAAAGAAAGCTAGTCATTTAATTTTCTAAAGCCAAAACTTAATTGTATTTTCTGACACAAAACTATATTTCCACATTAGAAACCTAAAGCCCCTGTCCATGCATTATGTCATGGATAATGAGCTTTTGAAATAAACAGGACAGGCATCATTATCCACATTTTGTTAGGAGGAGAAACTGAGGTTCAATGTACTGAAGGGAGTTCTCATAACCTAAGGGTGTTGAATCTAGACGCAGGAGGCAAGGTCCATCCTGGGCTGCACATGCAGGTAAACTGCATCTAGTGCCAGAGCTGCCCTCCTAGTCCCATCTACATGAGTTTCCCTGCACCACACCTTTCAGAAGAACAAAGAACTACTACTCTACATCTGAAGGCTGGATGGAGAGCCATGGAAGTGTTTAAAATCTAGTAGCAGCAAGTTTCCATATTTCTCTTTTCATGTATTATAATACTTTACTTTTAGTGAATGACTTAAATCCACAGAGTTCCACTGATAACTGAAAAATCAGTGATAGCTAGAGACACACATCAACATTCTAAGAATCAATAATAGGATGGGTGAGATGACTCAGCAGGTAAAGGCACCTGCTCCAAGCCTGACAATCTCAGTTCAATACTTGAAACTCACTTGGAAGAAGGAGAGAACTGACTCCCACAAGTTGTCCTCTGATATGCATTTGTGTGCCATAGCACGCATGCACTCCCACACTCATAAATGAAAAAAAATTAAATAATATATATTTTATTCTACAACTTTACAGAACTTACCGAATTGAACTATTTTCATTTTTGCTAAGTAGATGACTAAATCCTGGAGACAAATTTTCTTTAGGAGAGCGCTTAGGACTATAAGCCACAGTCACTGGTGTTAACATAATTTCTCTTTTTGCTAATGAGGAAAACAAAGAAGAAATATACTTTTCTTTCTGCATGTGTCATGTAGGCAAAACTTATTCCTAATTTTAAAAGTAAAGCCGGGCGTGGTGGCGCACACCTGTAGTCCCAGCACTTGGGAGGCAGAGGCAGGCGGATCTCTGTGAGTTCAAGGCCAGCTTGGTCTACATAGTGAGTTCCAGGACAGCTGGGGCTACAGGACAGCTGGGGCTACAGGGAGACCCTGCTTCAAGAAGACAAAATTCATAATAATATAATTCCATAGCAAAACGTGAAGACATTTAAGAATATACAAAGTGAAAATAAAGTAGCCTCCAGTTCTAACATCTAGAGGGAACCCCTTTTGACATTTTAGTACACCAGACTATAATTTTAGCACTCTGGCTTAAAACCGGTTTTTCCTGGGCATGGTGGTGCACGCCTTTAATCCCAGCACTCAGGAGGCAGAGGCAGGCAGATCTCTGGGAGTTCGAGGCCAGCCTGGTCTCCATAGTGAATCCAGGCCAGTTGGGGCTAAAGGGAGTAGAGGGAGATCCTGTCTCAAAAAGACCAAAAAAAAAAAAGAAAAACAAAAACTAGTTTTTCAAGATTTTAGAAGTGTACTGGAAATCTGGTGCACTCCTATAACACAGGAAATATGGACTCTCCTGAGCTGTTGTGAAAGTGGACACTGAGGACACAGAAATTCAATGCTTAGGCTTTAGAACAAGTCTGTAACTACACAAGAAAAAAGTTGACTGATGCCGCATTCTGGAAATCAAATATATAAGAAGCACATTTTTAGGCTTCTGTGTATTGGATTAATATTTACCAATAGCTATTAAATCACTCCAAACTTTCAAAAATTTTATCAGCAAAATTTCTTTGCTACCCACCCCGCCCCCATGAAACTAAGCACTGAACCTCAGGTCTCATGCATGCTAGATCAATGCTCTATCACTGAGCTACATCCCAAGCCTTTTTTGCTTTTCATTTTGAGACAGGGTCTTACTAAGTTGTCTAAGCCTGCCTTGAACTCGCTCAATAGCTCAGGTAGGCTCTGAATTGTGATCCTCCTGCCTTAGCTTCCAGGGTTGCTGAGATTAAAGGCCTCCACCACCAGCCTAGCATAAACTGAGGTCCTTATGGTATATTTATAGTGTCTAGGCAATCAGACAATTTTATTTTCTGATGGTGCTCAGGGACCCTATGCTCAACCTACTGTGTTGGTGCTGAGGACAGCACAGAGAAACAAGAAAAATGCACAGGAAAAGTCACTCTCCCCAGCCCAAAATAAACACATCAAAGTCTTACTTGGAGTGCTGGCTTTACGATTTGAGGGTGGTAAAGATGATGATCTTTGTGAGGCTGAATTCTGTCTCTTTGGTCTCTGCTGGGTACATTTCTCAGGGGAACGGCCTGTATTGATTGAAGATTCAGCTTGTGGAGGATTCACTAACTCTGTACCAGACAAAGGCAAAAACCATAAAATGAACTTGGCTTTAATTATCTGCCTTCATCACACATGTCACACTGCACAAGGTCCTCTACTAAGTGCATGCTCTGTTCAAAGCACATCTTCTATCTACGATATAATAATTATTTGCAAATATACCACATTATAATAACAAAAAAATGCTTGATGAAGGAAAATGTGGGAGTTTATAGTGAATTCATTCTGGCTTCCTGTTTACAACTGGCATTCGAGGTGATTTTTCACGAAGAGTTTATTCATTTTTAGGAAACAGGTTACTAATTTATTTACTAGGAGATACTGCTATGGGATATAATAATACCAGGATCCATGGATGTGACTGGGAAGTCTGAGCAAGTAAGCTTGATAGGAAATAAAAGGAGCAAAAGACCAGGCATGGTGGTGCATGCCTATCATCCTAGCACTTGGGAGGTGGAGGCAGGAGGATCAGGAGTTCAAGACCAGCCTCAGCTACATAGTAAGGCCAGCCTATTCTACATGAGAATGGGAAGAGAGGGGGTAGGAGGGAGGGGAATGAATTGCTGACCTAGACTTTGAGAAAAATGAAGCTTGAAAGATATTCTTCCTCTGTATATATCAGTAACCAGGAAAGGAAAGGAAAATAGGAACAACAACAACAAAAAAACCAGATGCTTTTGTTTGTTTTGTTCTGCTCCCATTATGCAGCCCTGGGCAGTCCTCGAACTTAATATGTAGACCAAGGCTGACCTCAAACACAGAGAGATTCACCTCCCTCTGGCTCTGTTAGGATTAAAAGTGTTTGCCACCATGTCCAGCCTTTTTTTTTTTTTTTTTTTTTTTTTTTGAGACATCATCTTGCTACTATTATGTAGCCCAGGCCTCAAATTCACCATTCTCCCATCCTCTTTCCTGAGCTTCCCAAGTGCTGGGACCACAGGCGTGTGCCCCCATTGCCCATCTTCTTCATTTTATGAACAAAAAATGTCTGACACAATTTTCCAACACATGCATGTAAGATAAACAGATGCAGACATTTTTCAAAATCTTTAAGAATGCCATGTAAAAAGAACAAACTCACTCTGTAGCCCAGGGAAGCTATGATTTTAATCTTCCCGCCTCAGCACATATCATTGGGATTACAAGCCTATACCACCAGACCTGTCTCATGTAAGCCATTTTAATAATCAGAACATAATGCACAATTTGCTTTGTGTAAAAGATACTTATTAGGGATGAGAGAAATAGCTCAGTAGTTAAGAGTACTGGCTGCTCTTACAAAGGACCTGGGTTCGGTTCCCAGCACCTACAGTGCAGTTAACAATTGTCCCTAGTTCCAGGGGATCCAACCCTCTTCTGGCCTCCGTGGGCACTACACATATGTGATACACTTACATACATGCATGCAAAACAAAATAAAATATAAATAATATAAAATAAAATAAATTAGTCAAAAACTATTTAAAATAAATAAATAAATAAAATAAAAGACACGTGTTATGCCAGGGCTGTGATAAATTATTAACTAGGGTATTCGGTTATGTATGAAGTGGGGCTAAAGCAGCAGTGTCATAAATTAAAATTTCATTGCATTTCCTGAGAATTTAATCTTAAAGAAAGTAATATAAATCAAGGGAAAGGGCAAATACCTCTATCTTCTTTCTCTATCAAATAAGAAATAAAATACTTACTGCTTGAGGTATCTTCTTTCTCTGTTTGCATCACCCAATTTTTTAATATTCTTTCTTCATCAAAGTCTTTTAAAGCTTTCATGATTGGCGTATCCGAAGCTTCTCTTTGTTTTTCAATCAATAAGCTTGCTGGAGATCTTCTAAGTGAAGAATCCTTTTCTGGAGGAGAATGGTACCTAAAACAGTAACTGCAATTGTAACTGCTACAGAATGAATGTTTGTGGGGTTGGGGATTTAGCTCAGTGGTAGAGCGCTTGCCTAGCAAGCACAAGGCCCTGGGTTCAGTCCTCAGCTCTGAAAAAAAAAAAAAAAAAGACAAAATAACAGAATGAACGTTTGTATGTCCGCTAACCAATGATGTATAGGTAACAGCCTAACTTTATGAGATTGTATTTAGAACTAGGGCCTTGGAGAGGAAATGAGGATTAGACAATGTCACAATCGCGAAGCCCATGATGAGGTTAATGTCCTTATAAAAAAAGGAGGAGGGGCTGGAGAGATGGCTCAGCAGTTAAAAACACTGGTTGTTCTGTAGAAGACCCGGGTTCAAATCCCAGCACCCACATGGCAGCTAACAACTGTCCTTAACTCCAGTCCCAGGGGATCCGACAGCCTCTTCTGACCTCCATGGGCATCGCACAACACGGGTGCACTTACCTTCATTCAGACAATACACACATACACTTTTACAAAATAAAAAATTAATTATTTAATTTAATTTAATTTTAAAAAAAGAAGAGGAAGCCAGGTATGATGGTGCACACATGCCAATAATCCCAGCACTCAAAAGGCAAAAGCAGGAGGACTGCTGTGAGTTTAAGGTCAGCCTGGGACGCATAGCAAGACTTGTCTCAAAACAAACAAAAAAGAGCTGAAGGGATGGCTCAGCAGTTAATGCATTCTTTTCTTTCAAAGTACTAGAGTTCTCAGCACCCACATTAAGCAGCTTACCATAGCCTCTAACTCTAGCTCCAGGGGGATCTAATGCTTCTGACATCTGTAGGCACCCGCACTCACACCCACATAGGCATATATGGACATGCACATACACATAATTAAACATAAAAACTAAATCTAGGGGCTGAAGATCTGGGTTTGTTTCTTAGCACCCACATGACAGCTAATAACTGTCTATAACCCCAGTTTCAGGGGATCTGACACCTTCTTCTGGCCTCCATAGGCATTATAAGACATAGGTGCACTTACATGCAGGCAAAACAAACACATAAAAATAAATTTTCTAAAAAAAAAATTGGGGGGGGGTCTTCCTGTAGCCCCAGCTGTTCTGGAACTCACTATGTAGACCAGGCTGGCCTTGAACTCACAGAGATCCACCTGCCTCTGTCTCCTGAGTGCTGGGATTAAAGGCGTGTGCTACCATGTGTGGCATTCTAAAAAATTTTTAAAAACCAGAGAGAGAGAGAGAGAGAGAGAGAACACCAAATACATTCTCTCTGGCACACACTAGTAGACCTTGTGAAACATGCTCAGAAATAGGGTCCTCTCTAAGACCTCAGCCATGCTGGCACCCTGATCTTGCATTTGCAACCTCCATACCTGAAGAAATAAGTGTCTATTAAGCCATTTAGTCTATGCTAATTTGTTACAGCAAACCACACTAAGACACATAGCTTACTAGGATAGTTAGGGGAATGATAGAAGTTAACAATTATCCTCCATGTGTATGTTTTTATAATACAAATATTAAAACTGAGGCTGGTCATGGTGGCACATGCCTTTAATCCCAGCACTTAGGAGGCTGTGGCAGGTAGATCTCGGTGTGTTCAAGGCAGCCTGGTCTACACAGTGAGTTCCAGG